GACTACCTGCCTGAACGTTCCCCTTACCCTCACAGGTGGCGTCTTGCACTGTGCTAATTTCAAGTGTGATTCAAGGACCCGTGGCACTTCACCAGTCCACGATTAGCACAAAACTTGCAAGTAAACATGTTAAAAACTTTGATAGCAATTTGGCAATTTTGTTTATTGAACCTAACAAAATATTGGTATTTTATATTTTATTTCTCCAGCAGTAAAGTATTGTTTGTTTATTTATTTTAACAAAGCAACAATCAACACAGATTGTGGGGCCAGAAGAAGAAAACAAACTAACGCCTGATCTTTCACGACAGTTTGAGAAGCACGGATCTAATGTATTCTCAGTTTCTTTATATATGTCTTTTGACTACCTACCTTCATGCCTTTGCCTATTTTGTTTAGCTAATACTGCCTGTCTCTTAAAACCCAACTATAATATCCTCTCCTTCATGAGTTTTTCACTTACACTGAAGTTCTCTCTATATCTGCTGAAACCTTATAAACAGTATTTACTGAATGCAGCATCATTTAACATTCTATGTAAATATGCTTGCTTTTTTGCAGTACTATCTTGGAGGCCACACCTGAGAGAGATAATCAGGATTGAAAAGAGCATGGATTTTGAAGCCATATATATTAGGGTTAGAACCCTGAGTTCTGTCATTTTCAAGCTGGGGTCAGTCAATTAGCCTTTTTTGTGCCTCAGTTTCCTCATTTGTCAAATGGGACTATTGGCAGTACCCATAAGGTAGCACCTTAAGGTTTCTATGAGGATTCCATGAAATAGTACATGTAAAACATTAAGTGTACAGTTCCTGGCATATACTGAACACTCAATAAATAACTCCTAGTATGTTTTTCATTATTAATATCAGCAGCTCTTCTGGAATTTTGTATTGCCTTTGCACAGGCATTGCCTGAAACTAATCATTGAATCACATTGTTTTGAGAAAAAAACATGAATAACAACTACCACAAGTGCTTTGATAGACCCGCTTCTTGAAGACACAGTTCGAATGGGTGGTGTGCAGAAGGCTGGAAAGTCATCAAATATGTAGGGATTTGTAGGCTCCTCAGGGGCTTTGGAGAGCTATAGTCAGTACAGCAGAGGCTTCCTGTGTAGGCACTGTGAGCACTGCATAAGTCACTGAGACGATGCTTTTTCCTTCGGGAAAAGCTAACATTACCAAAGAAAAATAGAATTAAAAAAAGAAACTTTAGAGAAGGCAATGTATCTAAAAATATCCCACCAACAAAAAATTTGGCTAGAACACCTGGATTTTTCTGAGTATAATTTTAGTTAGGTAAACATTGAAAAGACATATTTTTTCCTAAAAGAGCTAAGAGTAATTTTATGGAAAATGATAGTTGGCAGTAATCTTTAGATACAGAAGGTCAATGTTGCAAAAGATTTTCTTTGTTTCGAAGAGTGAGCAGATGTAAATTTGAAGGAACTGCAATAATGATGCTCAACACCCACAGTCGCTTCACTGACAAAATTTACCCTCAAATAATCTTTGTAGGATAATTATCTAAGAATATAGACACATAGATGTGAACTACAGTGCTAATCATGCTATAGTTAAACGAAGTGATTGTTTTTGTTCACTAAACACGTGCATTAAACCCGTATTATAGATTCATAGCTATCTAGAGTATGCTTTATTAGGCTTTAAAAAGTAGGTAAACTCTCTTAAAAGTAAGAAGAAATATATTCAGTGTGTAACTAAATTAAATACCAAGGAAATGGCACTGAATTTAAGGGAGTGGATTACGGTTTTGTGGTCAAATTATCTTTGGTGTATTGAATGTGAATTCAAAAGGAAGGCTATAAATGAAATACAGAGAAGAGCTAGCAAACAAGATTTAAGAGCTATTTAAGCCTTTGCTTGACAAAGGCAATAATACAAAGACATAATTCACTATAGTTGGGGGATAAGAAAAACAAAGCACATCCCAGATTTGAATTCAATTCTATGTCTTTAGGTACACACACACACACACACACACACACACACACACACACTATCTCTCTCTCTCTCTCTCTCTTTCTCTAGATGCATGTGAACATACCCACCAAGTACATGCACAGATCTGAATAAAAGAAGTAGTAAACATTTTCTGGAAGAGGAGCTGAATCGAACATACACATTCACTTTCAATAATAAGGTCTGTTAGACTTAAGAGGCACAATGGTTGAGGAAGTGGTGAAATCATCACAGACTGTGGAGTGATTCAAAATTAGATCAGATGAAGCACTTTAAAAATACCCTGTAGGAAACAATGTAATGTTGGGAAGGCAATGAAGAGATGACCTAAATCATTCTTTTCCATCTCTAATTTTTAATGCTTTTTGTGTAGTTTTAAAATAGAAATGTATAATGTTTACAGAGGTACTGAAAGTTAGGGCCTTAAACTCTAAAGTGCTTGTTACGTAACATTAATATATATGATTCACATGACTGTGTTGTAGAAACAGCAGAAATGTAGCTACACCTCTGTTAGTCCTTTCTCCACTACTATGAAATCTACAGTGAAGGAAGACTTTAGGGTTTAGAGCAGTTATTTCTCTAGAAGGGTTTATAGATTTGTCCTGAAAGGTTAGGTTCTAAACATTTATATCCAACATAACAGACCTTGATGTTATAGTCAAAATTAAATAAGATTTAACCCCATCCCTGACATGTAATGTCGTTATAACTGGATATAAACATAAAAATTATGGGAAATGGTATAGAAATTCTTTGAGAATTAGTAACGAATGTATATTTTAAAAGGGAGATTGGATGAGAAGCAGCTTTTAGAAGAGTTATTTTCCATGTTCTCCTAGATCTCCTGATCTTAAAATAATTTGCCATCAGATTCAATCTTTTTATGTCATTTGGTTTTTCTTATAGTCAAAGGCAGTCAAGGTACTATATAACATGAATAAAATGGAGTAGAAAGGGCTCAATACATTTTTCTAATAGTTTCTAAGTTATGGTTTTTCCTTTTAACCTATAGCGATTTCCTTGGGGCACTCTTGCTCACCTTTGGGAAACTCTCCTATCTTCAGTCCAACAAAGGCACTTAAATCAGCAGTGGGAGCTTCCTGTTTCCTGGAGTCAGCCTTGCGGCCTTTTGCATAAACCTTTGGTTAGACTGGTTCCAGAGGATCAGCTGCCTGGAACCAGCCCTGACAGAGGCCACCTTATCTACATATTGTTTCTCGAACTGCAGTGGGCCCTTGGAGCTGCCTGAATGCTTTGCGGCTCCCTGCCCCACGTGACTGGTTTTGTGTAAACTTCATAGAAAATTTGCTTAGGCTAACTTCTCTTATAATAACTGAAAATATGCTATTTGCTACCGAGTCCACGTACATGCAGAAAAGAGAGAGGAAGGCCATTTACCCAGTCCTTTGCTGTGGTAAAGTTTGCTGTGGTAGTGAGGCAAAACTAAATGACCATTGTTCTCTGGAAGTCTTGGTGGTAGAAGGTGCTGGCCATGGCCAGCGTTTGCCTTGGTGCCTAGCCCAGTGATTAAAATATCTACTGAAGAGCTTTCATAGTCTTTTGTTGGAGGAATGACTGAATGATCATTTCAAAGAAGGCTACATTTTGGCACTCCTCTTGTTGCATTTATCTCTTAGCAACTGGCGTCCTAAATGGCCAGCCCTACACAATACGCAAAAAACACAGGAGGAAGAGAAAGGATGGGGATTCAGTGCCAAAAGAATAGGAATGACGATCTCTGTCTAGCCATCCTTTGAATCATGAGTGTATGTACAATCTTCAACCAGCCTTAAACTATTCAACATGACATATCAGAGAGAAATCATGGAATTTTGGAGACAAACGCAACTCTGTCTAAATCTTAACTTTGCTACTGACTAATACTTTACCCAGAGCAGATGATTTAACCCCTGTGAGGCTCAGTTTTCCTTATTAAAATGGAGAAATTACCGTTAGCCTTGGAAGCCCTTTGCCTTGTTTTGAGGTAAATTACTTCATATGTGTATATCTATGTATCTCAAAATAGTAATAACAGTTTTTATTTCTTGAGCATCTTGTAAATGCCTGGGTCAGGGCTGGAGGGTGTACAAACATTTCCATGAATTTTCCCACTAACTTTGCATGATGAATAGTATCATTCCCACTATACAGGTAATTAAATTGAGAGTCAGTGATGTAAAGGAATCTATGCAAGGCTGCAGAGCTAACAAGTAAGAGAGCAGAGATTGGACTTTAAGTGTATCTAATACATGAACCCAGACTTTAATTTACTCTGATTAATAAATATTAGTTCTTTCCCTGCTCTAAAGAAATGGAAACTAGACAACTTTTCCTTTTCTAGTTACTATCTTTGTTTAGCCTTTTCTGTATGGTAGTAGCTCTATTCCCCACAGTAAACCCCAGTAGGCCCAATAGTTTTGTTCATTCTGCTCACTTATTTAGCATCTAGTTGTGTGCTCCATACAGGTAGTATTCTTAGTTCTCAGTATTGGATGTCACTTCTTTTCAATAGATTTGTTCTATCTTATTTCAGGGTAGCTACAGTAATACTGAAGCCCAGAGAATTTAAGGTATACAGAAACTTTTAGAGCCACTGAAATAACTCAGGTTTTCTATAACCCCATTTGAGGAAGAAAACAAGATATAGTCTTCTAGATATGTAAAATACAGCAGTTTCTGTCTTCTGTTGTGAATAGAGTCAGAGATTCTTCTGGCTGTGCATCTACATGTGATGTCAGTGGGAACTTTGAATATTAAGGGTGGAGAGGCCTGACTTGGACGATCTGCCTGTGGAGCTATTAGCAGAAGCTGGAAATGCTTACAACCATGGCTTAGTCAGAAGGATATGAACCTTGCTCTTATTCTGACAGTTGCCTTTAATTAAATGAGCCTGGTCCTGTTAGATTCTGGCCAGTCAGCTATTTAGAAAGCACCAGTTCTTTGGCAATCTAACTTTCCCAAGTTTTGTTTTTACTCAGCATCTTGGATTTTGTTTTTGTTCTCCATTTTCAGATTTATAATCGCTTAGATACAAATTGCTGTGGATTCAGACCTCGAAAGGAAGATGCCTGTGTACAGAATGGACTGACGCCAAAATGTGACGACCAAGATTCTGTGGCCCTTGCCCACATTATCCAGCGAAAGCATGACCCAAGGCATTTGGTCTTTATAGACAACAAGGGTTTCTTTGACAGAAGTGAAGATAACTTAAACTTCAAATTGTTAAAAGGCATCAAAGAGTAAGTTTTATAATGTAGTAACATCAGATTTGTGTTAAATAAGTAGTCAGGTGTGGAGAAAAATTACCTCCTATGTCTGATCAATTTTAACCCTTGAAATGAGATATGGTTGTGGAATCTGGGGAATGGAGGCCCAGAAAACGGAAACAAACCCAAGTGGAATAGGACAAGAGTGCAGCCAGGATGTCACTCTCCCAACCAATGCAATCTACAAGCTCCTGTTATATCCTACACCCATCATGTTGTTTGGCCCCACTGAAAATCCACGTAGATGAGGTTGGAAGTGTGCAGGAATCTCTAGAATAGGAACTGGCAGAACAGGAATAAGCAGGTGGCAGAGGCTCCATTATAAGGACGTGGAACAGGGGAGCTGAGAAACATGCAGATATTGACATGGCAGGATGTCCAAAGACACAATAAACTCAAGTGACTTTAAGGATGTGGTGAAAAATTAGAGCCAATCTGCCAATTAGAACACAGTATCAAAGGACAGCAGCTATTTAACGAGGTTGGAAAATTTTTGATCCTTTGGAAATCCTTCTAGGAGACATAGATTATGAAAAAGAGTATTTTGAACCTACCTCTAATTGGAAATAAAGGAAACTAAGGCACTTACCAGTGGCAGAAACCCTGCTATGGAGTCTGAGCTAATCAAGCCACTATGAAGATTGAGGCTAGATTTCAGGCTCCACTTATAGCTACTCTTCATTGTCTTCCCATCTTTAGAAATTAGAGTGACTAAGCAATTGGGGTATGCTTGAGACTTGAAAATAAAGGGGTGCATTAGTAAAAAAAGCTCTGTGAAGCTAAGTGACTGCTGGAAAACACATGAGCAAGTCTAAAATTGGAGAGGTAGAACCTAGGTCTTCCAAATTCAAGTCCGATGATTTGTCTGCAAAACTTGCAATGTGCATGTTTTTACTGTTTTTCTTATAAATAATACCCTGAAGCATATTTCAGTAGTTCTTCCTAGCACTGACAATTAGATAATGTGAAGTGTGTGTACTTTCAACACTAGAGACAGTACTTTTCCTGTGAGTTTCATGAGCTCCAATTTTATGAGTTTTTGTGAAGTGTTTCCCTGTTCTTCCCTGTTTTGTGAAGTGTTAATACCTGTTCTTCACATTTCTTTGTGGGTTAAAGGTAGAATACGAATATATGAAAGATTCTTCTAAGTGTCTAAACTAAGGAAATTTTATGTGGGAGAATTTACAAGCCTAAGGCATCATTTACTGAGTTGATATTATGGGTCATCTTAAATCCTTACTCCTAAATGTTCTTTTAGAATTAAGAGTGCATGGAGAATATAGTCCATCCATTCATATAGGTATGAATACTGTTTGATTTATGCTTTCAAAGACTGAACTTTAAATGCATTATGAAGAGCAATGAGTTTAAAGTTAAATCTTTTTTGAATGTGTATTCACACACTGAAAATCACAAATGAAGTCTTTGCTAACCCAGATTTAGGCAAAGAATATTCTTATTAATCAGTGTTATGTGAAGACAGGTAATTTTTTGATTTTCCTTTATAAGAAAGATGCATCACTGAAAAGAACCATAGTTTTTAACAATTTTATCTTATATATTCTGCCACAGCTGAATTAGTTGAAGGGCCATGGAATTTCTAAAATCATGGATTGTTAATACTTCATAGAGCAAAAATGCTTAATACTATACTATGGTCACTAAATTACATAGTCCATGTTTTCAGGGAGCAGCTTATCAGCATTATTTAATTCTACACTTGCTCAAACTCATTAAGCACATCCAGCTCTGTGGCCTTTGATCTTTCTGCAGCATCTGAAGGGCAGGAGAACCTGTATCCCTTGCGTTCATGCCTCTCTACTCCCGAGTATCATCCCCAACTTGCTGCACTGACATTTGGAAAAGATGTCTAGAAGTCCTGAAACTTCTGGCCAACAGTTCTCTTCAAACAAATGTTTGTTCTTGTTTTAATTTTTAGGGAATGACTAAGTGTACTTGAAAATTACTCATTAACCCTAACATTTTTTACTGTACTTTACTGAAAACCAGGAGAGGCCAAATTGGTGACTCAGCAAAACATTACTTAGTGATTTTGAACCAGAACTTTTCTGAAGCCCTTTAGATAATGTATGAGTTATATCCTGGCTTTATAGGTTCTGGATGAAGGGCAGAATACACAATGCACTCTCTTAAGGTAATTCAGCAAGGACCCTTCTAAATGGGCCTCGGATTTTTCAGAGAGATGGTCCATTGTGGAGTGCCCTGGCTCTAACACTTGTTTCACTGCATTTACTTGAAAACAGTTTGGTATTCCAGTACCATAAAATGCTGGGTTCCTAAAGTATAATCTGAAACAAGGGCAATTCTTTCTTTAATTGGGCATTTTGGAATGATTCCTTTCTCTTCCTAATACATATATTTTGGATTATTTCTCATTGAAGTCAGCCATGCAACTTCTATTCTGGAAGAGAACTGAACTGTAATTGTCAGCATATTGCTTCTCATATTTTCTTGCACAAACCCCACACATTGACCCTTAGGAGAATACTATTCTACTTGATGGGTTAAAGTGGTTTCCATAGGTGAAATCAAGTTTAAGATTGAGGAAAGTATTTTTGCCCAACTAACAACTTAATTCTGTGCCTCCCTTTGCCTACATATAATGACCTTAAGTTAAATGTTAGTATGTCAAGTACTCAATGGTATAGAAAATTCAGTTCTCTTGCAACATATTGTTTTAAGACATTAGAGATGTGTCTGCTTGACAATGACAAAGTTTTGATTCTCAAGGTACATACTGTTTGATAGTATGATTTATGTCAGATTAATGAAAGGGAAAGAAGTTGGGTGAGGCATAGTATTTCCAAGTAATTATTAAGAATGAAATATTTTATCTTTTTAGGTTTCCTGAATCTGCAGTTTCTGTTTTGAAGAGCCAGCACTTACGGCAGAAACTCCTTCAATCTCTGTTTCTTGATAAAGTTTACTGGGAGAGTCAAGGAGGTAGACAAGGAATTGAAAAGCTTATCGATGTAATAGAGCAAAGAGCCAAAATCTTTCTTACATACATCAATGCACATGGGGTCAAAGTATTACCTATGAATGAATAACAAACGGATTTTCTGGCTAGAGTACTAGATATATTTATGTGTTTTTGTTTTCAAATCAAGTACACAAACCTCAACTCCTTTCAGGAATGAGACAGAGTAGATGAATACATAAAGAGAATGAATTTAACCAAGTGTGTATGATGGGCCTGAGTAGTATAAGCAGCTCATAAAGCTTTAAGAAACATACTCCTCAAAAAATATTTGTTTATATATTTCGCTACCATTGTCATGTGAATCTCAACATCTGATTACAGAATGATTGCAATTATTATTCCAGCTAGCTTTGGTAAAACATTGGTCGTGTTGTTTAGTAGAATAGTGTAAACTGACTTCTTTAATAAATTGTTTTATGCCATTTTCACCGGTCTGATCAAATACTAGTGGGAATGAGCCTTAAATTTTTTTTGTTGCTAATTTTTAAAGCAGAGCCATCCCAGCCCTCACTCATGTGACTCTGCACTGGAAAACAGGCACGTGATCTAGAAATACGTCACTGCCTATAATAATTCTACACAGAAATTATGAGGTGTTTGCAAAACTACCAGTTTATATTCTAGTGTATCTATAAATAATTAGCCATCTCTGTGATTCTGAGCAGCGAGAATCACATTTTCCATTTCTCTTTCGATATTTATTTTGTTGTCAGTGTAGGAAATGTCTAAATCTGACAATTTATACATTAGGTAGTTTTGCCTTCTCATTTTAGATCAATTTATGTCTAGTTGCTTAGAAATGAAATAATATTAAGGTTTAAAGTTACCTATTTGAAACTGTACTTATAGAGTGCATTTTTTAAAATGCTCTTAAATTTTTTCGTCGCTTTCACAAGTGTTATACTATAATTTCTGTATATTTCATTAAAAATAGTGGGCTTCTTCAACTTTGTTCTGTGTTATTATATTTAAACTGATTTAACTGATACTGTCTAGATATTGACAATAAGATCAGATATTGACTGGGTTGAAATATATTGTTCAGCTTATTCCAATATGAGAAATATGAACAAAATAAGTTAAAACTTGACTCTGATCATTTTTCCTCAAGGAATGCACATGACTAGAACCAAAACAGCATATTCGGATGTTATTAAGCTTTAAATAATTCTCTCCAAACTCCCTCTTCCAACTTTTTAATTAGGTGGAAGGATGAGGACATATAGTGTTCATGTGTTGGATCTTTATATCCTTGGAAGATACTCATGTCATCATGTATAACAGTGTTCATGTAGAGATTTCAAATCTTGAACAAATTATCATTACCTCCCATCCCCATACATCCCACCCCTTATTTAAAAGCTGATATGCTGATGTTTCCTTTCCCTGAAAGTTTAAAAATACAATTTAAGAATGTTTTTAATAATAATAATACAATTTAAGAATGTTTTTAGTAATAATGAAAATATATCTCTAGATTCTAATTTATATAAAAGTATAGGGGCAAAAAGTTAAAATAACATGTTAAGTGCAAAAGAAAATAGACCAAGGAGGAAGGAATTGTTCCATTATCTAATTATAACTTTTTTAAGCTCAGAGTCAAGTACTACCCATTAGTACCCTTCTTTGCTGGGCTAAGCTTCGGAGAGTTGGTCTGCAGACCATCCCCCTGTTCAATTTTCCCTCTATAGCCTCCCTCTGGTTTCACGTGTTCAGAGAACTCTTTGGCTCTCTTGAGTCTTCACTTTTACCTGTTGTATTTGGGCTTTTTAAGATTGCTTTTTTTCCCCCTCTTCTGATTAATTATTAGATTGATGAAAAATTGACCTAATAGAAGTTTGGGGACCCAGGTTTTACTTCTTTGAGCCACTAACTTGAAATAACTCTGTCAAGTTGCCTTACACCTTGTCTTTTTAAGGTGGCATATTTGCATTTTAATATGCTTTTGATGAAGTCTACCATCTTAATTCCAATTTGTGATATTGGTGGTGAGAGTTCCATGCTTCTTAGGAGTGAGCTTTGATTTTGTGCCTCAAGCTACCAGCTTTTGGGCAGCTTGGTCCTCTCATATGGGTCTGGCTTTGTTTATTTGCCTTCAGTTATTCCAAAATGCTTAATATTAAATAAAAGTCCAGGGACACATGTTAGTTTTAGTCACCATTGCTTTTTTTTAAACAATGTATTTTGTTTTATAATCAGTGAATAGTTTATGCTGTATTATTTTCGAATAATGGATAGTTGAAAGCAGGCTTTTAATTCTAGTAAATAATGCTCTTCATTTCTCGTACCTGAAAAAATGAAAAACTCTGTGCCTTTCAAATGTACTGAGATTGTGCTGTGGTTTAGTTCACATAAGCACATTATGTGGTTTATTTATAACTTGATAAACTTAAAATAGAATAATTTACCTTGGCAGACATACAAAAGCTATTCTCGTGTGATTTATTTTCTTTAAGCTGATATAAAAATGTTATCTTAAAAATCTGTAATAAAAATATTAGAAATTAAAAATGCATGCTTTTTCTTTTGTGGGTGTGTTCATTTTCTTTTGTAGGTGGGTTACTTTTAAGAAGTTACATATAGAGGAATGTTTGCTACCTTTATCCATTATAAAAGAAACAATTGAATAGCCCAGAATTTTATTAGATTGTGTTTGTGTAGACCTATATTTGATATTATTAGTGATATTATACTTTCTCTTGGTGTAGATAAAGCATTGTTTTAGGTACTATGCAAATTATTTAACAGATATCATAAACAATAAGAATAATTTTTGGCTTTCTTTGCTTTGGGTGAGCCTTACAATTATGTTTCAAGTTTCCTTCATAGCATACATATTTATTAAGTTTATTAAACATCTCTGGAACTTCTAGAAATATAAAATGTCTTAGACTGATGCTCAAAATATTTATAATCTCTGGACTTGTGTAATAGCTTGTTTTTCCATTGTACCTTTAAATATATATTACATGATACCTAATGAATAAAATATCTTAGATGTAGAGTAACCTGAACACTGTCTTATGAAATTCTAATGCTTACTTCAGCACAGAACAAAGTAAAGCATGTTTAGGGCACTAGTCCGAAAATATGTTTTGAAAATTCTGCATGGGTTGAATAGAGGTGATCAAGACCTTTCTCTAAAAGTTAAACATTATCATCAAGAATTAAGAACTTCCATTCATGAAAGATCATTCAATTTGTCAGAAAAGTTATCTGACACTTAGCAATAGTAAGAAGAGAAGTTTTTTAAAGCTTTAGTTTATTTATTTTTATTGAATTTTTTGGAGTGATGTTGGTTAATAAAATTAAAAAGGTTTCATGTATACATTTCTACAATACATCATCTGTATATTATATAGTGTGTTACCTCTCCAAGTCAATAGCCACAGGAGATTTTTGAGTGTTTTTCAGTGCAGTGCTGGATTTGATTTTGTATTGAATAGGCTGCTTAACAATGTGTAGGGCAGAGGTTAACTTATAGATTTTTATACCAGAGACATGCAAATAATTTCTGTCTGGTGAAAAAAAATAACCCTAGGTTTTACAATTTATTACCCTGTTGTACATTAACCAGTTTTATATCTAGTTAAGCAATCTTATCCTGACATTGACTGTAAATACTAGCTTTTGAAATACTCTTTGAAATGATTTTACCACTTTACTGGTTCCCTTGTTAATTAATTATTTGAATAAAATCTTTAACATATATTCATTTTACAATTGCCTAGGAGTCACAGATTTACCATTTTAACAATTTTTCTTAAACACACATTTGACTGCTGATTCATGTAATTTTATTTGCTTGGGAGTCATGATTTTAAATTTTTGAAAATTTTATTTTAACAAAGTTTCAAAACATAGTCACATAATTTAAGATCTGAATGGTACCATGTGATCTCTATCTTGTCCATCACTCTTATCTTCTAGATAAAGAAACTGAGGTTTAAAGAAGCAGTTACTTGCCTGAATTTACCCAAATAATTGATTTAGAATCTTTAGTGTTGGAGCAAATTAAAAAAGTTAGAGAACTAAAACTTTCTCAGAAATTTCATTATCTACAAAATAAAATACACTAGCTTACAAAGATACACTAGCTTAATAAACACCAATTCTTACATAGGCATATATACATGTATTAATAATTTTAGGGCATATTTTTTGTGAACTGACAAGGAGTGAAATCAACAAGGAGGCTTCTCATACTATGAAACTCTTGATTATCACATTTCACAGTTGATTGAGAATTTATTATGTGTCATGCATGCTGTGTGCTGGGCAATGTGGATGTACAAATTAATGAGTAACTTCTAATGTGTTAATCATAAGTTGAGACCTATAACTAGACTTTAACTTATAGCTTTAGTGGAAAAAGTTGAGGGAAGAAATTCTTTGAGGAATTTCTAGAAATAAGTTCTTACTTAGATTTTTTACTCACAGAGGATTTTACTATAGCTCTAATTTATTGTTGACTCTTACTGCATAAAATGACAATTTGGAGTCATTTTTGTGGCTGGACAAATAGACCTATTTATTTCAATATGTCCCAGGACATCACTGTGTTCCAGTATGATGGTATGATAGTAAATGCTCATAATGAATATCCCGATTAATCAAAAATGTGCTAGCTCATGTAAATTGTGGATCACTTCAAGGAGCTGATTAAAAGTACAGCCTGGCTACAAAATTCTGCATATAATTTCAACAGGCTTTTGGACCCTTGGACAGCCATTCATGGAACTCTTTCCTTTCAAGTCTATGATCTCCCAGGTTAAGAACCTTTATTTACAGTATATTCTGAATGTGGGAAATAATGTACACGTTACAGAGACTTTATCTAATGAATTTATAACTTAGAAAAAAAGATTTTATTTATTTTTTTAGAGAGGAGAAGGGAGGGAGAGAGAGGGGAGAGAAATATCAGTGTGTGTTTGCCACTCACGTGCCCAACCCTGCTCCCTGGGGACCTGGCCTACAACCCAGCCATGTGCCTGGACTGGGAATCGAACCAGCAACCCCTTGATTCACAGGCTGGCACTCAATCCACTGAGCCACACCAGCCAGAGCAAAACTTTTGTTTTCATACAAAGGTAAAATCTTGGGCTCTGGAAAAATTACTTAAATAATTTAAAAAATATTTAAACTTAATTTTAAATTACTTAAATTTTATTTAAATAAAATATTTAATGAGATACCAATGAAAATTGAGAGCATTTAATGAGATACCAATAAAAGTTGAGGGACCATTTACTTTAGTAATACTTTAATAATTTTAGCCCATGTCATCAGTTCCAAATTCACTTAATTAACTAGAGACTGAAATCCTTTGAATTTATTGTCTCTTAATTAACTAGAGAATGAAATCCTTTGAGTTTATTTTCATTTAATCCTTTAATTTATTAAAGATTATTAGTTACCCAATTTTTTTTTTTTGCTTTGATATACAAAAGATCCCAGATGGACACTTATTTTATAGTGTCTTAGAGTATGAGGAAAGTTAAGTTAATGTGTGCAATTAAATGAAGTTATTTGATTTACTACCAATGGTTTTCTGGACATGAACATAATGCTCCTGCTTTTTATAAAACAATTTCCTACAAAAATAAATGAACTTATCCCAATGGAATTATTTCCTTGACATTTATGGAAAGATCTGTAACCCTTTCTTACTCTTCCTTTCTTACAGTTCTACTCAGAGGATTCAGAGTGTCTAGACTCATTTCACCTTTTATCCCCTTTCTCATTCAGGCACAGCTGTTTCAAGTCAAAATATGGCATCTTCCCTAATTTTTAAGCTCTTTAGCCCTCCTGGGATAGAGCTCTGCTATTAGAAAGGTCTGCCTCTGACAGGTTGTTGGCAGACTCTGTTTTGCAACCTAAAAATGCACATGGTAAGTGCATGAAGTCACAGAAATCCTTTCTTATAACACCATTGTGTATGGTTAAATTAGCTCCTTTTTTCCATCTTAGAAAGGTACCTTTTTACCCTCATGATTGCATTCAGTTTGTTGATAAAAATATGTACAATTATGTGCACATTAAGAAACCTCCATGCATCTTCTTTCTAAAAACGTAATCTGTATTTCTTAGCAACACTTGTCAAGATTTCTAAAGCTTTTGAGACAAAGAGCTAAAATATAAAGGAAACCTCCCTTGTCAGTGGCTTTAATCACATGCTGCAGAAGAGCTAGCTGTGTTATATTTCAAAAGGAAAACTGGGCTGCAGAGAGTAGGACCAGTCACTAAATGAGACTGAAACAGCTGTGACTTAGCACGATGTGCCAACATTTTCTTTAGCTCCAGGACACCACACATTGTTTGGCTCATAAAGCACTGTATGTTGTTGGCTCAACTTCTGTTTAGGAGAACAAGAGAGCTTGTTCATTATCCTCATTTCAGCCTCTCAGGAGTATTAAACATTGGGGTCAACATTTTTTTTTTTTACTTAATAATTTACTTAATATTTTTAAAAAATAAACTGTAATTCAGGTATCCTATCTGACTTTGTGAGACTGCATTCCAAGTTAGCTTGCAAGAGTCAGATCTTTCATAAGAGAATGATGAAATCATAGCATCTCCTAGGAAAGAGTCAATCATTCTCTTTTTTAATCAGGTAGCAAGTGACAGTTAAAATAAAGACCTTCTAAGACTGTGGCAATGCTATTTGCTGCTGGTGTTGTGTCATTTCCTTTGTCTTACTCCTATTGTTGGTTGCAAGTAGAGACACTATGTTGCATTTAAAGAGGAGTGACATGGTAGCATACAGACTAGCAAATTTCTAATTCAAAACACAAATTCCTAATTAAATCTCGACTTTAGCCCAGGCTACCTACCAGATTCCAATAGTAGCACCTCTTCAAACTGTGCCAACCAAAATGTCTCCAGAAATTGTAAAATATCCCTTGGGAGGCAAAACCATCTAGTTGAGAACCAGTGTATTTTCCATTGATAGAAAGTCTTCTGTAAATTTTTTTTTGTCCTCTCACATTCAGGTTGTGAAGATTTTCCCTGTCCAGTTCCTTGTATTAGAACATTTTGCCATGTTGCATGACATCCTTCAGAGCCCGAAGAGTTATGGTGGCTTGGGGAAAAGCATCCATGAAACAAGCTACATGAGAGTCAGGAGGAGGAAGAGAGACATTTTGGGGCTTTAAGAAAAAAAAAATAAGTGAAAAATAAATCTTGGACTTAAGACAAAGGAAATATCATGGCAAACATTTTGAAGTGGGGGTAGCTGGAGGTAAAAGTGCTTGAAAATCTGTACCTTCCTTTCCCTCTGTCCCAGGCTCCAGCATCTGTATTCTTTGAAAAGATGCCTGGACTATAAAGAAGCCATATTCTTTGCGTCAGGGCCCACCCGCCCTGTGGGAGCCTCCTCTGGCAGAAGGTCAAAAGAAGTGGAGGGTGTTTCTTTATGAGCAGGAGTGGAAGAAGAGCAGAAAATGCGTTAGA